ACTTTGTACATTCAATAGGTTTGCTTGTGGTCTTGATTCCCATTACAGAGTAACTGAACAAGCTAGAACTCTACCTTTGTTTTCACTTTAGCATGGGTGAATATAGGAGCCACCGAGTCCCAAATTTTGCAGCCGTTTCCCTTCCCACTCTTTGGATGAACAAAAACCTAGTCAATCAGAAAAAGATTCTGGAAAAATATAATACCACTTTATGTCCAATTTTGATAAACCACCTAAAGGACTCAAAAACCCAAACAAGCATAATGATATAAGCAATTGGCAAACTACAAAACATACCAATAGATTCTTTGGTCGCCCCTGTTCTAGGGCCAGAGAAGCATTAATCTGATCGACCCACATCTGACATGTTTGGAGATCATTATGACCAAACGTATATTTAGCCAGGACCCGAAAGAGAAGGCAGAGTCTTTGACTGCTGGAAACCATGCACTGTAAAGCGGTAAACCTGAACCTATGTAAACGCCAACGACATCAATACCATATGAGGGAGTGAAACAAAATAGCCAAGAATGGGAATTGAACAAACCTCAGATTCATGATGACCAGAAAGGCATCTTCTAGCATTAGAAACCTTTGGTACATGGATCAAACCGTGGCTGATCAACTCAACGGAATACACATCGGAAAATTTGATCTCGGTTGCAACCTTTGAAGTAAATGTGATGCCCAAACAAGTTGAGTCATCCTGATATATTAGACAGTAATAAAAATTTCAAAATTTCATGATTAAACATTATAATCAACTCATCGATTAACGATCATAAATGCTTCCACCGAAAAATCATACAGGATCCCGAGTAAATAAATTAACAAAGTAAAATGTTTGTCACAAAGCTCAGGCAAAAGTGATGAAAAATCAGAATTTAGAAGAACCCAGTTGCCATTAGGCCTAATAAGCAGCAGAAATCCCAGAATCCATACTAAAATTTGAAAGTATCACAACTATAACACAATTAAGAACAAATTTCAATCTAGAGTTGATAAAAATAGAAACTTTACTATCAAATAAATCAATTTAAAGACAAAAACAAAAGGGAAAGAAGAGGAGAGAAATTAAATACATTTTCCAATGGCTCGAGCGATTTCCAAGACAACCCATCTGAGTTTAAGAAGAGAAGGACTTCCCCGACGCGGTCCAAGGTGAGGCTGCAGCTCAAAGCCGCCGCCGTGGCTCCGCCGTCAAACTGCGCGTGCGGGAGAGGGGGAGATTCATCTGGTTCAATACAGCAATCTACATCACGTTCCATTCAACGAGGTTTGAATTATATGAAGGATAATGTTGAAGGCGGCGAAAACGGAAGAACTTTCAGGTGGAATTTCAAAAAACCGGTGATCGCGTTCGTTGGCCGAAGTGGAATTTGGCGCTTTTATTGACCACAAAAGGAAACAAAACGACAGGAAAACGGGCCGTTGCAACCAGAGATCTAGGCTTCTAGCATGTTTGCTTTTCTCTGGTTATTTTCTTATTACCCTTTGACCATGGTCATTGTTTGTTGGTCAGTGCATGAAGCCAAATCCAACCAGTAAAATCTGGTAAAAATTATATTTATAATTAAATTATAAGTTTGTTGGTCAGTGCATTGCGCTTATCTTTGTATTCAAGCTTCAATATTTCTTCTCATATATTAGATTGGTCCAAAATACCACATTGTAAAACAAATTTGCAAATTAAATTGTCCAAATATTTCTTTATTTTTTTTCAAAAGTAAAATTCTTTTTTTTAGAAAACATAACATGATAAAACATCAAACAAAAAAGGATCTATGCGCTACCTAAATTACAATCAATTGGAGTATATTAAATTGCGAGTTGAATTAGAGGAGTTTAAAAGTCTTTTTACTCAAAATGGTCATCAGATTGGTATAACTTTTCACTTTGGTTCTTGAGATTTCAAATCGTAGAAATGGTCATTGAGTTGGTCCACTGTCAATAATTTGGTCAAACTTATAATCAGTTCTATCGATTTCAAATCTTAAGGACCAAAGTGAGGAGTTATGTCAATCTTGAAAATTATTTTAGCTCAATGCCGAGTTTAAAATACTCCTCCTCTGCCAGTTAGTACTACAGTTTAGTGATATTCATTTTTACTTATAAGTTTAGTGGTATTCCTCTTTACTTGTAAGTGAGAAGTCTTAGGTTCGATTATTGCCACATGGAAATTTGAACCACATTATTGCTAACCCATTGTGAGGCGTAACCTACTATCCCACATCTTAGTGTAGATAATATCGTTTGCTAAAAAAAAAAAACCCTACTCTAATTAACTGCAACAGCATGTTGTTTTCATGCTCTAATGTAACAGATTTCGTAGACAATAGAACGGTGCAATAACAGGACTCTTGTTGACAAGCGGAGCCTTGTCACGGTAGCACGGTATAAACCGTCACATCGTCCATGTCCAGGCTTCTCACTGAGTACTGAAATGTCCATCCGTGGCAAGCTCCGGCGTGCACGCCCTTCTTATTGATGGCAAAAACAGCTCCAACAAAACCAGGGAATTTTCTCGTGATTGTGATATCGCATCCTTCGCAGCGAGTTTAGGTTCCATCCCTAATCTCATACTCTCCACAACTTGATAACTGTGGTTCAATCATTTAATAGATTCAGTATAGGAGCATATTGGGGACTAAATACACAGGGCATGACAGAAAACAAAGCCTGCTTGACGCACACGCAATGCATTCTTTACCGGAGTTGCAAAATGATGGATCGGATTGTTACGTTCAAAACTCAAGCCACCAGGCCGGAAGGAAACCAGTTTTTAATGCTTGACAAGCCTCCAACTGGTATAGTTTGATTAATGACAGTATTTGCTTTACATTTAAGACAAACTGTACTTCTTGATTAAGGCTTTAAGAAGGCAAGTCAATAGCAACATTCATAACTTCATCGTCGCCCAAAAGGAAAACTTCAAAAGTGGTAAACTGTTGATATTGTTGGAGCAAAAGCGAATTTCAAATACGAAGATTTGTAATTGTTGACTGAAATTAGCATCCCATAGCAATATACTCTACAAGAGAAGAACGTAAGACCAGGAGCAAAGATGACCAGTGCATTACCATGGAAAGAAAGGCATCGTGACATCACCATCTCCGGATGCACCACAAGCACCAACTTCGTCATCTGCATATGCAGATGATCCTGCAATGCGTCCATAACCCACCCTGCAGTCAAGAAACTGTGCTTTCACTCATGCACTCATGCAATCATGCACTCGGAGTTCTGTATTAGACTCCCCTTCGTGCCAACCCGAGTAATCGCATGTATCATAATCTTGATCACATCCAACGGTGATCCATGATATTGCAAATCATACCAGAGGACATATACGTAATTTTATCATCTATTTTGAACAAGCAAGGAAACGGCGGGGGTGTGGGGTGCTTACCACTAACCGCCATAACCGTCTTTACGTGGTAGTGGGATAAGATTTCCACTGTTTTTCATACACAATTTAGATGATCAATTAGAAACGTGAACACCGTAATCAGGCCCTTCATTTTTCATCATCTTTGATCCTTAATGGTCCCACAATCTAAGTACTTGATTCAACGGCTAGCTTTAATTCACCAGTTACGTTTCCATAAGATGCGCCGTGTGCATGCAAACCCTAACATGATCGAGATTTAAAAAAAAAAAAAAAAAAAAAAACTCATACCTCAAAAGTTCATATTCCATCATCTCATTTTTTCCAAGAAACCCAATTAATTTACGGAAGAAGATTTTGTTTCCCGTCGGAGTGAAGAAAATTGAGAGATTAATTTTGTTGAAAAATGGCGAGGCAAAAGCAAAACGATGGAGCATACATCAGGAAAGGGCCATGGACTGCTGAGGAAGATGAGGTGCTCATAAGTCATGTGAAGAGAAATGGTCCTAGAGACTGGAGCTCCATTCGATCCAAAGGACTCTTGCCGCGAACTGGAAAATCATGCCGGCTCAGATGGGTTAATAAGCTCCGACCGAACTTGAAGACGTAAGTAAGCCCTACGAATCCTTGGAATATTATATAGATATCAAACACTAATTAGTTTTTGTAAGTTTAGTTGACGAGTGTTCATTAATTTGTTATGTTCACGTTTTTGTTGATTATTGCTGGGTTTTTGGCAATTTAGTAGTTGTAATCTGTATTTTCTTGCTTAAGATTGACGCTAACAAAAAATGTGAACTTGAACAACAAAGTGGATGCAAGTTTTCTGGAGAGGAGGAGAGGATGGTGATACAACTGCAAGCGCAATTCGGGAACAAGTGGGCGAAAATTGCGACGTATCTGCAAGGCAGAACGGACAATGATGTAAAGAATTTCTGGAGCGCTCGGCGAAAGAGGTTTGAGAGGATTCTGCAGAAATCGACATCCTCAAACTCCCAAAAAAACAAGGGGAAGAGCCTTGTGCATCATGAATTTCCAGTGGATAAGGTAAGGTAGCATTGTTCTCAAATTTCCAAGACAAATTTTTTCAAATTAACAATTGTGAATTCTCAGGTTTCTTCTCATCCAAGCAATTGCTTTTTGAATTCTGAAGAGTTGGGAATGGTGGATCTACCGGATTTGGTGAAAGCGAACCAACTGCTGAATGTGGAAGCAGAGCAGCAGCCCATGCTTGAGGCCACGCCGATTAATATGATCCCGTCTTCTGATTTCCCACCACACTTATCTTTGTCTCAGCTTCCTCAGCCCCAACTAGACCTCTCATTTTTATCAGGATGCAAAGAAATTGACCAGGACCCTATCGTTCTGAACTTGCTGGACGTGTTCGGGCAGGATATCCCACCTCTTGGACTGGAGGAGAATGTTCAAGGTAATAAGTTAGGAGAGCTTAAAGACCTTTCGACCCCTGACATTTTCTTCGATGAATTCCCACCTGAGATGCTTGATTATCTCGAAACTCTTACAAGCTCGTCAGAGTTATGAATTCCTGGGAGTCTTGTGTAACTGTTATTTGGTATGAATTCTGGGACACGATTGTTTGATACACTAGAAATGAAGATTAGAACTTGTTTAATAAATATTCTGTTTAATTGTTGAACATGACGAAAATCGCTTCTTTATACAATGTGCTAGTGCAATATACTGCAACCTGAGTCCATAAACTCAGTGTTCACTGATCTTATTAAGAAATTTACATAATCAATGGTGATGAAATACATTTTCCTAATACTAACTACCCAAAGTAAGAAAAAAATGCCAAAACCAATCACAACATCCAATTCAGTATTAAATCCAAGCTTTTTTCACAGCTGCACCAAACAATTCATGGTCTACCATGCTCCAACTCGAAATAAATTTTGAACCTTCGTAGGACTGGCAAAGGTCATAAATTCTTCTACTTTGTAATCATCGTCTCAGCCAGATCTGGTTTCAGTCTCAAAGCGTTAGTCAGTTAGACTGCCCAAGGAATTTGTATCATCTCCAGATTGTTTCATTAGCATCTGTGAAAATTGCGTTGTGATGTTCCATGAGGCACTGGACAACCTCAATGGCGCCGAAGTCCATGGGCACGTCATCATCCAAGGGGATGGAATCATCTACAGCATCACCTTCATCTGAATCCACAATAAAAAAAAAATACGCGCAAAAGAGATGAATATGTTCTTTCGAAAAACCAACAATATAACACCTTTAGTTCACATAATTTCTCTAAAATAGAAATAGGTTGCTAATGAAGAACCGCTCACCAGAAAGCATGTCCCATGCAGTATAAGTAGGCTCAGGATCCAAGTTCTTCCTGGAAGGACCTTTTGACAGTTGATTCCAATATTTCCTATATAGGTCCGGTGTTTTACCCTTCTGCCAAATTATAACAGGGGCCATCTCCATCGCGAGACTTTGGGTGCTCATCTGTGTACAGTTAACAACTATTTAAGCAAGCTTATCAACAATTCAGGCTATGAACAACCCGCCATGCATACAACACGGAGAGAGAGAGAGAGAGAGAGATGCTTCCTGCCTTGTTAAGAACTGACTTCTGGCTAACACGGAACAGTAATGCAGTGACAAATTCTAGGGTTGTGTAGTTGACTGTAGGAAGCCTCCTGAGCATGTTTCTTATCGCATGTATGCTGGATCGAGCACCTTTGATCTCATTATAAAGCTCAAATGTGGTTAGTGGCTCAGGAAGGGTAGCTAGGTAACATTTGACTAGAGCCGCTACGTCAATTGGGTTTACACCCTCTGGTAATGGTGCATTTGAATCTGATATTACAACACTAGATTAGTGTCATCCAAATAGAACTAAGAAAATTATGTTTCAAAGCAATAAATAAAAAGAAGTTATACACACTTCACATACCTTGGTTGTACAGTGAAACCAGTTGTTGAATGACTTTTCTATCTCCCTCGCCTTTAAATAGATATGGTGTATTTAGTCCTAGAAGTCAAAAACATCACGAACAAGTTAATCATACTTGCAAAGGAAATCAAAGTAATATATGTGTAAGTGATCATACATGCACCAGAAGTGTATAAATTAGAGAAGTATAGACTATAGAGTACCTGATAATATGAGATAATCTGCACATCTGACCAAAATTTGAGGAATGGGCCTACTAGATTGTTGCCGTTGAACAATAACTTCAATCGGAACTCCAAAAACTGAAAATAAAAATTTAAATAATTATCACCATTCACCATTTAACCCAAGATTAAAAGCAACTACCATCCTGATACAGTTTATCTTGACACAGAAACCACCAAATTAGGGAGATGCAGAGGATCCAGAATTTCACCATTCTTCAAACAATGCTAACTATAAAAAACCTGAGTCATTTTCTATAAATTCTCAGCTACAAATTTCACCTTACAGCTATAAGTACAAATACATTTTAGGGGGAACCCCGTGTAACAGAAGGTCACGTGTAATACTATCAGAAGTCAAAGAAACAAAGCTTTCAATGTTTCCTCAATCCCAACTTCGTCCACCAGCACTAACTGCTACCCACTATCTCATCTCCTACAGTTAATATGTATATTCCTTGCTTGTTGATTCCAGAGAAAAACCAGACATGGGTCACTGGAGAAGAAGTAGCCAGATAGCCAAACAAGCCACAAATCCTCAACAATCCCCACTATAACCCTCAAAACCAAATGTAGTACAGTATCTCAGTTTCAAATTCCATCCAATTTAACACTGTAAATCTCACAGATAAAAAGCTGTTTCCAAATATTACAATTAGGGGTGTGCTATCCACACACCCCTTGTTAATTTATGTCATTGATCTTCTTTAATTTAGTCGATCCGACAACTACAAATTAAGAGGGTGTGTATGAAGTAAAAAGGGGTTTGTGAATAGCACACCCCTACAATTAATGATGCTAGGCAAAAAAGGATATGGAGGGTGTAGAAAATCCAAGAAACTTACCGTCGGTGCTTGCAACACCCTGAAAATGAAAAGAACAAGATTAGACTTTCAAAATATGTATAACAAAGAAGAAAAAGAAAGGTAACAATTGTTTCAAAATTCTATACCTTCTGCCATCTTTCGATATCACTCAAAATGCTTTTGCTCTTTTGGGCAGTCTTCTTTGCCACCTGAAGGAAAAATCACCATTTCAAATGTGTCAGTGATGAGTTCAACTAAAAAACATGCTCTAGGCACACACTTAGATTGTCAAGCTCAGGAGCATTTACAAGTCAGGGTTTACGATCAATTGCATTCACCGTTGGGGTTAAAGAAACAGAAAAATAGTACGATACGTTCAGTGACTTCAGTCTAAGTTCAAGTTGGATATGAATCATTATCACCTAACAAAGTTCTAGCCAGTTTACCTCCTCAACTTTTATCTTCCCAACAGAAACCTTTTCCTTTGTCTCTGATAAGCCCTTCCTAAACAATGTACCAGTTGTTGCAGCAGCAGTTATAAGGCGTTCCTGCACAGCATGTCTTGTAGCTGGTTGCTGAAGAATCGCCCATCGACTTTTGAACATTGACCCAACTCGTTCTGCCACATCAGCAACATTCACTTTTGCATCTTTAGTGACCTCTCCAACAAATGTTCCAGCTTCTTTAATCTTCACCCCTGCATTAAAATATAGTTGGCTATAGTCAAACACCAATCTTTTTCTTAGAAAATGATTAAACAATAAAAAACGGTGTAATCGGAAGGTACCTGAGGAAGAAAAGAATTCGGTAGCTCTCTTGTGTGATGGGGGGTGAGAACGGGAAAGCCATTGTAGCAGTTGCAGAGACCAGAATCAAGTTGTAAAGGCAAAGACCAGTTCAGCCTGTTTTGAAGGGAACAGATGAAAAATATGTCAAAGAAGATCGAAAGCCACTACTTTTCATAGGTTCTACAAATTCAAGAAAAAAAATTGCAATAAATCACAACGGTTTCCCTCTTTCGTTAAGAAAAACCAGCTTTAATTTCACAGGCAGTAAGTCTCTTGAATCCATTTATTAACACGAACTCGAAAACCAAGTTAAACAATAAATCATCAAAGTTTCCCTCCACTCCAATAAATCAACGTAAACAATAATCTTTCTAAGTCAACTGTTTGGCTGGTGAGAAAATGAAAGAAAGTCAAACCCCTCCCCCCATCATTCCCAAATACAAAATTTCTCAACTTAAAATTAAAAAAAATTATGATCTCAACTCAGCCAATCAGCTCGAATCAATTCTCTTTCACTGTAATCTGTCTAAAGATTATTCCCTTTTCATCAAATTTTATCCAATTATCAAAACCCAGTTCCTACTAACTACATACAAAAATTGGCCAAATCAACATCAATCAACCTGATTAAAATTTAATTACAAATTGAAAAGAAAAATAGTACTAATACAGCAGTAGTTGAAGAAAATTTTAATTTAGTTTCCACTAATTAAAAACAAACAAAAACCCCAGTTTTAATCAGTGAAATTCGAGAAAAGATTACCTCTGTGGGGCTTGCTGATCAAGGAAGCTGGAAGCGAGCAAATAGAAAAATCCCTTCTTTTTAGAGAGAGAGAGAGAGGAGAGAGAAAGTCGTCCTCTCTAGAAAATTCAAAAAAAGGCGCTTGCCTGCGATTGGTTGGGCATTCAGTGGGGTAGGCGGAAGAATAGTATGACGTCATGTAGGCGCTAACTGGCGAACACGCGGACTGGGACCCGCGTGTGATCCTGGAGGTTTTTTAACTGATATAACCGTCGTGTGTGCAGACTGAGATTAACACTTTTGTTTGGTTTAAAGTTTAAAGTTAAGACAGAGATTAACGTATTCTTTTGTTGAAAGTAGACTGAGATTAACATCCCCCTGTCCCCACCTTAATCCTTGAATATTCAACTTTTTAATCAAACTGCCTGCGTCAAGGGCCCCACTCCACTCCCACGTTGTTATCTTTTCTGTTATGGTGACGATGTTACGTAAATCAAGGGTGAGGATTGAGGGAATCAATCAAACGGTTGACAATAAATAAGAAAGTTGGAATAATAAACCTGCTCATAGCAGGTAAGGGAAGGAATAAGATTCTCTTAGGATCCGTTTAACCGAAAAATTGAACACTTAGGAATTAATTTTTTTGTTTACGTTCATCTTTTTTATAGGAATTTTAACGAAATGTTTATAGTACTGTTTATTTTAACGAAAAATTATATTTTTACACTAAAAAGTCAATCATGATACTATTCACTTTATTTTTTATTTTATTCTTATCGTTAAAACTCAAAGTTTTTCGAGCTATTTTTATTAGTTTTGTTGTGACATATGTTCTTATCAATATGTGATTGTGTAAATCCTAAGTAGAGATAAAATAGGAATCCTTTGGGATCTAGAAGATCTTTCCTAATATACTTTGTATTACTTGGAGAGCAAGTTTCTCTCCTCCTAATTACTATAAATAAAGGCACAAGGACTGGGGAATTAACACACAATTCCTCAAACCTATTCTCCATTCTCTCTTCTTCTCTTTGCCGCACCTATCTATTAAATATAGGCCACAACACGTTATCAGCACGCTCTTCACGCTGTGCTTAGAAGAATTTAAAGAGAATTTATTCGTCTACAATCAGGGGAGTATTACGTTTCAATTATTTTTAATTGATTAAATCTTGATTTTATTGAATTCATATATTGTTATTGATTCAATTTATTTTTCTTCTTATGTTGAACGTGATACAAGCTTGAAGATGAAAGCCGAAATTGAAGAAATAATTTTTCTGCATCAAACCAGTTCATTCATATCATCACGCAATCAGGTTCTTCCAAAACAACGGCTTTTAACTCGATATTTTTGAAGCCCTGATCGCATGAACATTCACCATGATGCATGACCCAACTTTACGTTTAACGTATTTTAGATTCTACATAAATTGTGTATGCCTCATAACCAAAATTGCTGCAATTATGTGAATTTGATATTTGCCATGAATTGAAACATACATATGTAAATGCATTGAAACTATTATTTTGCATATGCATCAAATTACATATGTGTTTCATTGAAATATATATACTATTGAATTATATATGCATATAATTGAATTGAAAAAAATTGAAAAATTAGGGTTTCGAGACCCTAACCAGCGAGCTGCAGGCTTTAAGCCGCGCCGCTTTGTAAGCCATAGGGCTGCGATGCACTGGAGCATAGCTCTGCTATGCTGAGAACCCAACACGATGCCGTTTGCGTCATCCCCAACCCATAAAACATACCCTCACCGGAAGCCGAGACCATGGCGTTGCCATTTTTTTCTAGATTTCACGACCTGCAGTCGTGATAGTTTGGGGTTTCATCGTCGACTACAACGATGTTATTTGAATTTCCGTTGAAATTCAATACTAAAATCGAAGATTCCCGAATCGAATCCCTGGGTTCCACACTTCCCCGATGTCGAGGACCCTCCTCCGTCGTTATGATTAGTTCTTGGATGAACCACCATGCCTCGAACTCACTCCTAAGGTTCCCCGTGCTTCGCCGTGCCACAACCTCAGAGGACAGTCGCCTGAAGCGACACTGGTGTTCTTCCCCGGCTATACACACCCAATAAGACTGGGTTTGTGACCCATATTTTTGGGTTGGACCCTCTCTCGGTCTTCCTCTTTCGCCTTGGGCTCACGCGTCGTGACCCAAACATTTTTTTTAGGACCTCCTATTTTGGCCTTACTGTTTTCCACGGCCCGTATAACAAAAAAAATAAAAATAAAAATAAAAATTCTTGGGCTTGCCTGAAGCAGCCCGCGCGATCAAAAAGCAAGGATTTTTTTTTTTTGGCTGCCCACAGCAGCCTAGTCTTTTTCTGTGGGCCTGCAGCCCCACCCGAGACCCCTAGCCCAATTTTTGGGCCTAGGTAGAATGAACCATATTTTTATTAAGCGACCCCGTGGACTTATTTTTTTTGGGCTCCCGAATTTTATTCGCCTAATTATTTTAGGCCCAATGGGTTTTATATTTTTTCACCCACATTTTAATTTGGCCCGAAGTCCAAATAAATTAATTCAATTATAATTATCCACCTAAAAGTTATATTTTTGCACATACTTGTTGCATATTTGCTTGCATATATATTTGTGTTTGCCTGCAGATATTATGAACTTAAAATTCATACTTCCGAACCCGAAGTTTCGGAAAAGTGCCATATGAACCTGAAGTTTCTTAATGCGCAACACTCATGTTGAGACCCGAAGTTCTCCATGCTTAAATCCGTTTAAACCAAACCATGTCTTAGAACCTGAATGTTCTAAATTTGTTGTTTATGGAAATTTTATTTCCTAAAACACCAATCACATTCTTGTTTCCTCCATTCAGCGTATTGTCGAACCGTAACAAGTTCGATTTCACTGATTTGGAAGTTTCGAATAGTAAACTACTTTATGTGGATACAAGACGTGAATAAGCATCCGTCATGATCCTTATTCGAAGAATTATGCCTGAAGCATATCCAATGGAAGTACTCCCTGCTGAGGACTCTATGACTCTTCAAATCCGTTATGGACTGTTTCAAATCATGCAAAGATGAATTTTTGCCTGAAGCAAAACATGATTGAAACTGTTACGTCCATGAATAGGTACAATTCTCGTAGTCCATTTGTGAGACTCATTTTGCTCCACCTAATACATTTGGAAGAGCGAAATTTGACATGGACGGCCTATTGGCCGAACCCCATTGTTTTTTTTGGTTTATTTTGTGAATAATTTATTTTGTTCTCGGATTTAAGATTAGTGTTTGGATGTCACCATTATTCTCGAATAAAAGAGTTAATTAACGAAGATTACCACATGTGACTACAATTAACTCATGGTTAGGTATGTTTTGTGGGGAAGTTAGCTGTCTGGTTCTATGCTAACTTCATACCTAATCATCCCCCGACAACCTTTCAGGCTTATCCAACCTGATTGTGGGGCATGGCACTGCCCTATATTGTCCAATGGTATTAACTTTACCATAAAGGGAAGCCTTATACTCACTTCGTTCCGGAAGAACGCATTTTTGAGCTTTAAGGATATTCGAGAGAGTATTATTACCATATTGAAACCAATGTAGAAAAATGGAGTAAAATTCCTTGGCATATTACCATTTTGCACTTCTTACGAAATATAGTTAAATGCATATTCTAGAGAAGATGGAACGCTTAACGAATGGATTACATCCATTCAAGTCCACTATGTGGCCGGCCAGAAGCCCGCGATTCCTAAGGAATTTTTCGCTATGGATGTACGTTTGGGATATCTAGGATGATTCGTGATGCGCCGTTTTGGGCATCCTTTTACCAGAAGTAAAGAAATCATACCTGGACACGTATTATACCTTAGCACCCTCCATCTTTTTACAAAGGATTCAAATGGGACATTTGTGGATAGATTCAACCACCCTACGGACCATTTAAATATTCTATAGTATTGGTTGATGCTTCTACACGTTTGTCACACGTGTGGTTGTTGTCCACAAGTTGCATTCTCCACACTGGTAGCTCAGATTAACAAGCTCAGGGCTCACCACCCTGATTATCTGATCAAATTTATTTGATTGGATAAGTTGGAGAATTTACATCGACATTTACATCGAACAATTTAAATCTCGATGGATATTGCATGTCGATTGGGTTTTTGAAAGTTGAACATCCAGTCCCATGTTCATACCCAGAACGACCCAGCAGAAGTATTCATTAAACGCCTTCAAATGATTGCGTGGTCGACTGGTCATAAGTACCACAGTTCCCGACCTCTGCTTGGGGCCATGCAATATTGCAAGCAACCATGTTGGTCTGCCTGAGGCCCGTCACGACCCAACCTTATAAAGCGCGTGTCAGTTGGTTACCAGATACGAACCCGACATATCGCATCTGCGCGTCTTTGGTTGTGCGGTCTATGTGCCATTTTGCGCCGCCCTTACGTACAAAAAAACAAAGGGGTCCTCAGGGAAGGATGGAAATCTATGTCGGTTATGATTCTCCTTCTAATATTCGTTACTAAATAACCTTTGACAGGCGATCTCTTTACCGCTCATTTTGCGGATTTGTCACTTTTTATGAGACAGTCTTCCCGTCGTTAGGGGGAGATAAGAACGTCACCGTTCCTAAAGAACGACGCGAATTATCGTGGACGTCCCCACTATGTCTCATATCGATCCCAATCTAGATCGTCAGAGTTTAACCAGACATTTCCTCTGATCTAGAAAAAGTGACGAGATCACATATACCAGCTGCAAATGTGCCTGCAAAGATGTGTACCAAATGTACTTCGGACCTTTGTCCTGAAAGTAGGAAAGCCACAATTATGGCCGACCCTCGTACATTGGCGGCTAGCCAATCAATCTATCTTATGCCAGAAGCATGGTAGATCACTCGGTTCGAGGATTCACTTCCCCAAAAGAGGAGGAACGTGGCACAAATGAATCCGCCCCTCGATCGCTGTCTCAGACCTTTTCATCTCATGAGATTAAATCCGGATTACTCCCGAGACCTGAAGTTCTTGGTCCAGTATACTAGTTTGGATGAGATATGGAATTGGAATGAGATTATCATAAATGATGTTTCATTTATATGGTATCGACATAAATGAAAAGCGACGATAACGAACCGCGTTCCGTTGATTAATATCAACGTAGAATTGATTGGTCAACTAAAAGAATCAATCTATGACGAATGAGATGAATGAAAATAGTGCAATATGACGCCTTGTGGCGCAAGGTTTCTCTCATACGCCATGTGATTGATTGCAGCATTACAAACGTGGTTGTAGTATCTCTGGGATCGTGATATGAACCTACATGGAGTTTCCAAAGGACTTACATGTACTGATTCAAATAGTTCTAGACCACAAGAACATCCTCTTGATTCTCAAGCGGCCTTCACTTTACGGATGCAGAACTATCCGGGCAGATGTGGTATACCCGTCTAAGTGAATATTTGATCAGTTAGGGATATATGCCCCTGCGTGTATAAAATCCGAAATTGCTAAAAGTTGAGAAAATTAACTCGCATATCGGACTATAAGATGAATGATCTTGGGAGAACTTGACATTACCTCGACCTGAAGTTTCGAGCTAGTTTTGATGGTATTCTGGTCCACCACTCAAACTAGACCCAGAAGGTGTTACGTCTGAGTATATCCTGATCATCTATATGCTAGATGCAAATGAGACCTTTACGGAGGGTATGGAGCATAAGGTTCCTTATTGGAACGTGAGGCAGCCATATCTAAGTACCATTGGCGTTTGTTGTACTTAGCTCAAATGCACTAGATCAGACATCTTATGTGCTGATAATCTTTTGGCATAAAGCAGCACTGCGCCTAACACGCCACCACCAAACTTGGTGTTAAAGACGTTTTTCTGTTACTACGGATTTGGGCTTATTCCCTATGCATCTCAGAATAGATCACACACCCCCTTGATCTTCGGAATGATGCCTACCTTGTGGGATTCGCTGAATCAGACCATTTGTCTGACCGCACAAGGTACGTCCCCGCATGGTTATGTCTTTACCATTAAGGAACACCGCAATATCTTGGAGGTTAACTAGATAGACCTTTTTGTTGCGAAACTTTGAATCGTTCCAAGACTCACTATATCTCATCACGTGAAAGATGTAGTCGAGAATTCTTGTTGAGCATATTCAAAATCCTTGCGATTTTCATCCATCGTTGAGTCCCAACAACGATCCATGAATACAACGCTGTATGTATCGACCAGATCATGATACATCCAACAAAGTCAACAACAAGCATATTGTGTCTACATCAGCATGAGCATCAGAAGATTGAAGTCAAGCAGTCCAATCCCAGACAACTTTACCGACATCTACACAAAGTCACTACCAAAGTCTACCTTCCAGAAGCTTGTCCAATGAATTGGTATGCGTAACTTTCTCATTTGTAATGCTTGTAGTTTCATTTGGAAGTTTTGTCAAACTCAGGGGGAGTATCTAGAAGTATACTCACTTGATCTTAATGTACCCTTTTTCCCTACGATTAGGAGCATTTTTCCCACTGGGTTTTTGCTACCTAACTAGGTTTTAACGAGGCACCCATCCTGGGCTGATCATACCCTTGTGAGCTCTTCTACTTGCGTCCAGAAGACGTATAGTTTTGACTTAATGCAACTTCTCACTTTTCTCCTTAGCCTATGGGCTTTTCTCCCACCTTGGGTTTTGCCATAGTAAGGTTTTGTGAGTTTTTACCACTCCTGCATTCTTCCCGTCTTTTGAGACTCGCATTCGCTACTTGTGCCGACTAAACGAGACGATTTCATCCACTACTTCTACATTTGCCTGAAGATCTGATGCGCCATCTACTTGAGTATTTGCACACTCAAGGGGGAGTGTTGTGACATATGTTCTTATCAATATGTGATTGTGTAAATCCTAAGTAGAGATAAAATAGGAATCCTTTGGGATCTAGAAGATCTTTCCTAATATACTTTGTATTACTTGGAGAGCAAGTTTCTCTCCTCCTAATTACTATAAATAAAGGCACAAGGACTGGGGAATTAACACACAATTCCTCAAACCTATTCTCCATTCTCTCTTCTTCTCTTTGCCGCACCTATCTATTAAATATAGGCCACAACAAGTTTTCATTTTTTTGTCCATCTTCTTTATATCTTCACCTTTTACTGTTTATCTTCTTCTATTTTTTTTTCCGGTTAATCGTATCATGTTCATTTTCTTCTCTCTTCACATTCATTTAGTAGGATAATGTTTGGTTGTTATTGTTGTTGAACTTTTTTTTTTTAATAAATGATATTATTTACATTAACGGAGTGGACTCAACCTTACAATAAGCTAACAATGATATGGTTCAAATTTTCATTTGACGAGAATCGAACTTAAGACATCTTGCTTATAAATAATATTGTTATTGTATTTAAATCTTGGATTTTTAGCTTTTTTTATACAGAAAATAAATGGTTAATATTAAAAAGAAAATATTTGTAACACTGAATAATAAGTAGCAATGATGCCATACTCGAAAATATTTGTAACACTGAATACATCTATTACGGAGCTTCCATCTTGGTGTCCTTGCTAGAGTCCCCCACAATCCTCCTCCAAAACCAGTGCTCCTGCCACACACTCTCCATCTTCTCAATCGGCACATTCTTCGTCTCCGGCAAAAACAAGTACACAAACACCGTCATCACCGCCACCCAACCCCCGAAAAAGAAGAAAATCCCAGCCTTGAAGTGGCACAGCATTGCTAGAAAAGTTTGAGCAACAATGAAAGTGAACAAAAAGTTCACCACCACATTGATACTTTGTCCCGCTGATCGAATTTCCAACGGGAAAACCTCACTCGGAACCAACCATCCGAGCGGCCCCCATGACCACCCGAATCCCGCTACATAAATGCATATCAAAACCAGCACCAAACAGGCATATCCTTTGCTCACTCCGCCGCGATCACCAAGCTGAGCTGCCATTACACCTCCCACCATAATTTGTGACACCAACATTTGAATCCCACCGGCTAAAAACAACACTCTTCGCCCAAATTTGTCTACGATAAGCATAGATACGAATGTTGAGCTTGTACCAACCACTCCAGTCAGGACAACGGACAAGAGTGAAGCGCTTTCTCCCAACCCAATTGTTCGAAAAAGTACGGCAGAATAAAAGGATATGACATTAATCCCTGTCACTTGCTGAAAAAATGGTATGGCTATTGCCATCACAAGCTGAGGCCTATACTTTCTCTCCAGGATTTTCTTGAAAGGGTGTTTGATGTTTTTCGATATGTTGTTTGCCTTGATCAGATCATCGAGTTCTGCTTGGACATCATCGACACCTCTGATACGTTGTAGCATTTTCTTGGCTGTTTGGTGATCCGTGCTACGCTGGATTAGGCTGTTAGGTGTTTCGGGAAGGAAAAATGCGCCCAGTGTTAGCATTGAGGCAGGGACTGCAGCCATGGCTAGGGAGATTCGCCACCCCCAACCGCCTTTGATCTTCTCAGAGCCGTAGTTGATGAGGTTAGCTGATAATACGCCAATGCCGACGCTAAATTGGAAGCCATTGTTAATTGCTCCTCTGTATTTTGGTGGTGCCATTTCCGAAAGGTACAATGGAACAGCCTGCACAACACAAACACAGATTACACGAGTACCATGAAAAATAGAAACATCGAATAGGGTATGCTTATATGATTAATGTTGGGGGCAGAAAGTACTACCTGATTTCCAAAACCAATACCAACTCCAAGCAATAAGCGGCCGAGGATGAGCATGTAGATGTTCATAGCTGCGCCATTTAGAGCTGAGCCGGCAAGGAATGCAGCTCCACCGGCAAGGATTGAAGGCTTGCGGCCGTAAGCCCTTGTGACCAAACTGGCAAAAAGGGAAGCCACAAGACCAGCTATGTAGAGTGAGGATGTGAAGGAGGTCAACAGTTCACTGTCAAATTTACAGTAGTTGCTGATTTTGGTGTCCGATTTCATCTTAGTGTTTACTTCAGGGAAGAATTTTTTAAGAAACGGCTCCATTGATGTCACGCCGCCTGAAATTCCAATGTCGTAGCCGAAAATTACACCTCCTATGGCTGCCATCATGCAAGAGAGGATGACAAACGGCGTCATCCTGCCATTGTATTGCCCAGCTTCGCCTGCTATTGCTAACCCAACTGCCATTGCTTCTTCCAAGCTCACACACAAAGAGATATGAAGAGAGAACTCAAAGTTGTGAGAAGTCTTGCTCCATTTTCTGACAAATACGGTATTTTAAACTACTGTAATTTACGGAGAACGAATTCTTTCTAACCACGTCTGCAAGAGCAGTCTTACTTGACTGGTATATTTCAACAAATGGTTTTGGACTTGTACGGAATATGTAGGCAGTGGTTGCAATCACTACCACTACCAGACAACTTCAGGCAGGACCATAAGCATTTGTCTGAACTCTGAAGAAAGTTAAGGGTCTATTTGGCCACTCTTCAGCTGCCATTGCCTGGTTTAACAAACCCTTTTGTACTTAATCACTCTTTTTTGCTGCTTTAATATCTGCTTTGCCGTTAATCGCGAGCACTTAAACTTGTCGACCGCTGCCACCCGTTGGTACCCTGCCGGAGCTACTTGGTATGGTAGTCCGGATGCCGCCGGAAGGGGCGGTGTAGTGCATGATTAATGTATACATGTTTTGTAATTTTTGGTTTACAGATAATACAGTACTGTTACTTAATTATTAATATTAATAGCATATGCTAAACTAATTAATTATTGTCATATTATTCAAAGTGATTTCAAAACTACTTTCATTTACGGTAAGAGAGGCTCGGAACTAATACAAAGAACAAAAATAAACAGCGAATGTGCATGAGGAGAAAAAAAAATGTGTAGGGAAATCGTTTCCCGAATTATTCTAAAGTGAATGGCATGAAAGCGAAAAGATAGAGAGAGACTACCAGAAACAATAGTGTGCCAGTCGGGGACCTTGGCATGCTTCCCACGTCACTCTAGTTACATTGGCACCCTAGCATGAACTCCACATGCTAGAATTCGAGGGCTCACTTGAGAAAAACTGTGTCCATCCTCACGTGATGAGAGAGAGATACGTTACGTGATACATACCCTGCTGTTTCATAGAAACAGTTTTGCCTTTCAGCAGAAATGCGAAAAATACGATTGCCTTTTTTGCTTGCTTAACAAGTCTGTCTGTCACTAAAGTTGGAGATAACATCATTGCATTTTGCAAACCAACTCATATTAATCTGTTCACAAAGAACAGCAGTTGAGGCAGAAATTTTAGGGTATAAGCACAGCCGAGCCGGATGTTTTCCTGTTCTCGAGGTCTGCATGAGCTTGTGCTGCGTGAGACAATGGGTATTTGTGATTTACTCGAACGCGCAATACGCCTGATGCAACATTAGCAAATACCTCTCCCGCAACCTCTAACAATTTGTCTTGAGCTGCAGTGTACTGGAACAGGGCTGGCCTGGTCAGGAAGAGTGACTTTGCTGCAAGGGCTGATAGCGGGACCGGATCAATTGCACCTGATGCTTGTCCAAAACTCACCATGTATCCACGAGTCTTCAAACATGCCAATGATCCCTGTAAACATGCCCCAATTAAGTACTAATTATAAAATTCACCATCAAGAAATTAGACTAGCTAATCTTCTGAACTGAAAAAATCAAAGGGTAACTAGCATTTGCTTTAACAGTTTCATAAAACTAGCTCAACGGAACAGTATAAAGATTTGGTATACCTGGCCTAGCATTGAGAAACTTCAACGCTAGATTAGGTAATAAGTCACGGTAAAGCAGAAGCATTAACAGGCTGTGTTGATACTCAATGAAACCAACAACATCAAGGGAAATGCGCAGAAGGAGAACCTAGAATCATTTCGGTAACTTCTGTATAAAATTGAGGGATGAAAAGTTAGATATACCTGAAAGGTATCCTTCCCTACAGAATCATAGACAACATCAACCCCATTGTCAGATGTTATTTCTGTCACTCGAGCAACAACATCCTCTTCCGTATAGACTATGACATGGTGACACCCATCATCCTTGGCCTGAGCTGTCTTCTCTTTAGTTGATACAGTTCCAATGACAGTTGCACCAAGCGCATTAGCCCACTGGCATAAAAGGGATCCAACTCCACCAGCTGCAGCGTGAACAAGGACTCTGTTTCCTGGTTTGACCTGTATAATTAACAGCACAAATTCAGATCGAACATTAAAAGCAGCAGCATTTAAATTTATACACAATTTCTAACATTGAATCAACCTTGTTTGGATAATGAAATTACAAATTCAGGAAGCATTTAGTTACAACTTGACCACCAATATTCGTCAGTTGATTGTACTTTTTCGGCACATAAATCACATAGTTAACAACACAGAAAATCGTACCAAAAAACAACCTTGAAAGACTGCCGTAGTAGAACCTGAGCTGTCATACCCTTAAGCAATACGGATGCTGCAACAATAGGATCAATTGAAGGGGGAACGGGCACCACTTTGTTTGCAGGAAGGATCTGTTCTTCCGCATATGACCCCATCGGAGTACCAACATAGGCCACCAGATCTCCAACTCGCCTGCCTATTACTCCAGGTCCTACGGCTGTCACAACTCCACAAGCTTCCATACCTGAAATGAAAATTGATTTGTTAACGAATACGGTTTATCGGTCAGCCTTCTGATCAAGAACTAGAAGGCCAAAAGAAGGCTGGACTCCAAGTTGTTCAAGAATAGTGATGTTGTGAGTTTCTCGACCATTTCTCTTAGGATTAGTCAGTTCTATTTCAAACAGCAGGAATGGCTAATCTGGTTTCATGCCCGGCATTCTTATATGTTTGCTAAATCATTCTTGATCATATCTGAAAACTGTAATCTCACGCGAAATGTTTACTCGAGAAACTGTTAAGAAAAAACTAAACTTTGAAATTATGCCTTCAAAGAGTGGACTAGATGTCAATCCTTCCTACATTTCAGAACTTGGAAATGAAGCAAAACCTGGGGTGAAGGGCATTGTATCAGCCTTATAATAAAGTCCTTTGCGGAAGTATACATCGATGAAATTAACCCCTACTGCCTTGTTCTTCACACGAACCTCCCCCTCCTTCAGCTCTCCTATTTCCACATCTTCCCATTTCAAGACCTAGCAGCATTACATCACAAAATTAAGTGAAATGGGAATAGAAAGCATTGGAAATTTGGATAATGACTTGTAGCTGAACCAGATGCAGATCAAAGAAAAATTACGAGCAAAGGAAACTTCTTTCAAGGAAAACAAACTGAAGTAAAACTCGAAAACAAACGGGTTTTGAATAATATGTTTCAAAGATTGTGTATGAACACACTTGATATGGCTCGAGATAAACTATAAACACAATATAAACTCAAGTTTACAAACTCAAATACTTCAAGGCCTCGCTCGATGTCTATGATTGAATTGGACTGAAAATTCGCTAGATTCAATGTATGTCAAAGAAAGAAATTTGGAAGGCAGAAGAAGGATTAATCGTGTAGAACATTCCAATAGCCAAAGAAATGGTAGGATTGGAAGGGATAAGCTTACTTCATGACCACTCCTACTTCTACTTTTAACTTATGGCTCGTGTGTTTTTAGAATGATTGAAAGCGTTTTTGGTGAAACTGATTTTGGATTCCAAAAACACTTGGAAGAAGCATCAAATATGTGTTTCTTGCAAGAAGCCCTTCAAGTGTTTTCTAAGATTCACTTAGATTTTTACTAAGAATTAGTTTTAAAAATATTTCACAAAAAAGGCTTTCTGTTATTTTAAATGTACTTCCAAAACGGCCATTAGACAAAATTTAGAAGTTGACTTCCATTTCTTCCTTCGACATTGAAACATTGTGAGTTATCGAATCCAGTCAAATCTTTGACACCAAAAAAGAACTAACCTTCTCTGGACTAGTCCGATGAATACAACGGCATAAGAACTCATGTGCTCTTGGCTAAAAGCAGAAAGGCTATCTCTTTCAGCTTGTTACCAGATTTCCCATCAAACAACTCGGATTTATTGTAAACAGAAATAGTTAACAAATGAAATCAGACACTTAATATTGCAACTGACAAACAAGCCTTGATTTTATGATCAAACATTCAAGTTACCCAAAAGAATACAGGAGAGAGAGATAGAGAGAGAGACCTGAGGACCACCAAGTTCATGAACTCGAATGGCTTTCACCATCTTTGTTCGCGATACTGCTTGATTTCTGGGTACGAACTACTTTCCGGTCAAAAGTGTGATTTCTTGGTATTTATCCCTTAATAATTAGCCTAACTCTTGTTAATATTATAATGTTGGACCTGCATATTTTTTTAGTCTATGTCTCATACACACACCTGAAATCATAAATTGTAATGATTTTAATACTCGTTTCAAGGTAAATAAACTGGTAATGATAAGCACATTAAAACTATACATTTTGATTACAAATAACACAAATTGAACATCGAAGACCATCTCCAAAGGAGATGTCAAAATATCCAAATCAACAATAACAGTAATAAAATACAGCATTAATGTTTTCCAATCGAGAAGCCAAATCTGATGTGGCAGAATATAAATTGACATCTCTCTCCCTTGCTGACAAATTTGATAGCACCTTCAGATTTTTTTAATTAATTATTAAATGCTTTTTATTAATTTATTATTGATTTAAAGCATTATCCTTTTGTTTGTTTTCATTCCCAATGCATAGAAAATACATATGAATTATTATTTTATGTTTAAAATTTGACATATCGGTTGGAGAGAAAAAGTTTAAAATATGTAAAAGTACCATGTAAGCCTTCAAATTTAAATTTTTTGTTTAAAATTTGACATCTCATTTGGAGATGGTCGAATGTTGTTTTTTTTTCCTTAACAAAGGATATTATCTACCCTCAAGAATCTCAACGAAAAGTCTTATCTTATTCTTCATAACTTCTTACGTTTCAAAACTTCATGATGAGGCATCGGTGAAAATAAATTGATTGAACAATGATTTAACAACGTCTGAACGGGGATTGATAGCGTGATACCGATTTTTCCCAATTCCAATTTATTTATTTGTTTTTTGTTTTTTTTTCTTTGAGTTTTTTATTTATACATTACTTTATTTGAGTAACTATTATTAAATTCAAATATCTTTAAATTTCTGTTTTAAATCGTTGATTATAAGTGCTAAAAATGAATTATAATACATTTTGCGTGGAAAAATATATTTGAAGAACATGAATACAATAATTTGTTGTTATGTTAAAAGAAATAAAAGAAACATTAGCAAAAAATATAAATAAAAAAATTGAAAATAGGGGATCGGTATGATACTAGCAATTGTTAATAAAAAGAGTCGCTATGTATGTACCGACAATTCTTGTGAACAATCAGTAGTTAAGCACGATCGTATCATTTTTCTATTTTATTATTATTTTCTTTTTTTTTCTTCCTACATTAATTTATTTAGATTCAAATACTTTTAGATTTAAATGTATATCTTCATTTTTCGGGCGCTGGCTGGTCTCGTTTTGTGTGCTTTGTTTATCCGAAGCTGAGCCGACCGTAATTTACGCGATGAATCTTGTTTTGTTTTCGATGCATCGAGCCTACCTTGTTTACGGAGTCCCCTCCTCACTTTTCATGCCAAAAGCTAAAAAAATAAGTGAAAAATATAGTAGTAAGGTCCAAAACAGTTTTAAAGTAGAGACTCCCGTAAACAATAAAAATCATATCAGAAATTACAAATAAAATTATTTTTTATTATTTTATAAAATAAAAAATACTAATATTTTATTTTTCATTGCCAGACTGTTGAGTTTAAAGATGACGATGCAAAAAACAGTTAAATGACGTCCCTGCGCACCTTTGCAAAGTTGGAGTTGCTCGGAGTTGCTCTTACAGAGAGGAGGAGAGATAGAGGGGGAGGGAGAGAGAGAGAGAGGGATTCGGTGAAGGGAAGGCATGCGGCTTGCAGAGAGGAGGGAGGGAGGAGAAGACGAAAAACAACTGCAGCAAGTTCATGGACAGGGAGAGAGCGTGCTGCAGCCCGCTAGCAGTTTTCGTTTAGATCCAGGTTTGTTTTTTTTTCCCTTAAAATTTAGATTTTTTTTCGACATTTTATGTTTCGTTCGGATCCGGGTCCGTTTGGTTGCCGAGAAATTCACTTGAAAATTTTCCTTTCGTTGGGTTTTAATTTGTTATTTGGGGTCGCGTCTGGGATGAATTGCCTGCCGGCATTTGAATTCGGCTTCTGGGACTGCGAAATTCTTCGATTCGAAGTATTGCTTGTCCGCATTTCATAGATCACATTATGCATTATGTTAGTGAAACGTGTGAATCCTGCTCTTGATGATTCAATATGCCATCAAACATTACTTAGGCTTCTAATTTCATACAGAAATCGAAAACCCATTTGGTGAGCCCTTGAGTCAGGGGCTACGCTAGAACATTTGGAATGAGAGTGGTCAAAGCCAATCACGTTTTTGTATTATTTTCGAGTTGAAAAATTAGGTTTTTCTTCATAAGTTCAAATTACACTCCATTGGGTCTGAGACTTGGAAACTCAATATCTTTGTGATATTAGATTAACATAGTTAAACTATATTTTCTTTTGATGGGCATGTCTAAAATTCTGTATTTGCGCTGTAGGGATGTATTATCTGGTGAAGTGTTCAAAATCCTTCTGCTAAGTGATTTAATAGGTTGAATTTGTATCCAAGGTTTTCTTCCAATATGGTCTGAACTATTTTGTTTAATTAACGAAAACAGGTCACTTCTCTCTATGGTGGTCCCTTAGAGTTTATGTTTATTGTGCAAAGCACAGAAGACCCTGCTTATCGGGCTGTATCTATGCTACTATCAGAGCTTAAGGTATACGCAACAATAATCATGGTTTCTTTAATATAAGAAGAACATCCAGGACAAGTCATATATAATATATGCTTGGAAGCACAAGTTTAATGCATAACACTTTTTAGGTTACATGTATTCCCAGAATGATCTGTTTTACGTTTAACTTCATTTCGTTGTGGGACGAGGTTGATGCTAAGATTGTTGTGGCTGGTATTTCAACAGCCTGCAGTCAGAAAATTCACAACCAATTGGTATGTACCTGATTAAAATAATTTACGCTTTGCTGCCATGCTGGTGCAATAGCAAGGTGTTGCACTGTTTAAGTGTTATCTTATCAAATCATTATGTACCTATAATTGTTCCATGTGACGAGTTTCTTTTCTTTATGGAATACAGGAATATAAATTTATTACTAAGTCTTAATGGTGTAGGGTATATGTAAATGAATTCAATTAGAACTCACATTTTTGTTTTCTGTTTTGTAGTTGCCTTGATCATTAGTTGGTGATATTTGGGAGATTGGGTCATCTGGTTATTTGGATTTAAGTGGGATTGAGGTTATTTTTGCCGCTTTTTGTAATTAGGGTCTGGGTTATGGTCAAGTTACTGCTATTTATTCTGGGTATTTGCTAAAATTTGTGTTCAATTAGTGTGAGTTCTGTAATTGGTTTGTGTTCATTCATATAACCTTCTGTTCTTGGAATGTGATTTAGCTGTGGCTATTTCATTTGATTCTTAATTCTTTATGATTCAACACTATGTTGATATTGATGATGAATTTTTCATCGCAATTAATGCTTTCATGTTTAAATCTTAATAACCGTAGTTGCTTCTCTTGGGTGCATGTTCTGCTGGTCATGAAAAACTGTCGGCCAGTCTTTTTGCACCACTCTTTCGCACTCTTTTCCATGGCTATCATGTTTCTCTCTGACCTTATAAATTTTGCCATCATTCACAGCAAAAAAACCTTGCGGCAAGCAAACAGGCACAACCAATTCTGCCAGAATTGCTGGAGAATTCCACAACCAAGGTCATTGAGTACGGCCGGAAGCATGTCGAGGGTCGAGACGGCGATAGCACCGACGTCGGCAAGAGCGGCGATTAGGCTCTCAAGAAGTTTGACGGACTTCATCAACAAGATCAAAGCTGATCAGAATGTTCTCTTTGATCTGTCTTGGTGAGTATCGTGACCCCAACTCTTTGTTATTATTAGTTCAATTTTTTTATGCGTATACCCTTTTCAAGGTACGGTCTTCACTGATTTGAATTTTTTTATGCGTATACCCTTTGTTATTATTAGAGGTCGCACTTGGTGCGATGGCAAGTGCCTTCGCCCATGAGCGGTAGGTCTCGGGTTCGAGACTTGGGAGCAGCCTCTCCATAAATGGGGGTAAGGCTAGCCGACATTCACCTCTCCCAGACCCTGCGTAAAGCGGGAGCCTTGTGCACTGGGTACGACCTTTTGGATTTGTAATTTATCCTTTTGCACCTGACAATTTGTGATCCATTTTTTTTTTTTTTTGGTGCGTTTTGATTTTCCTGTGAATTTTTATGGGTTTAGATTTTTATTGTTAATTTTCTGATGTTGGGGGATCATTTTGGCTTCTAGATTGGTTTGAACATTTTTCTGTCTTTGTTTTTTCCTTTGTGTAGTTTTAGTCAGATTGAAGTGTTCTTTTCAATTTGAGATTTATTTGAAGTGTTTAGGATTATCTATATATATATATAATCAATGTTGAAATTTTAAACTAAATCACTATGCTGCAATCAAACCCACAGATTGTTGGGTCCAAAAGAAGAAGGAGTGAACAACACGAAATTGGCTTTGAGTAAGCTTCCACTCTCTTCTGTGTATGATCTCTTTGGAAGTGATTTTGGTTTGTGCTTTCAAAAAAGATGATGGCAATTTCATATTTGGACAGAGAAGACAATAGGCATGTATAATGAAGTGGAATTTTTTGTGGTATTATCAACATGCATGTTATGAAGCATGCTTCATTTAATTTTTTGGGTTGTGTGTTTTGTGCTGTTTCATTCGTGACTTGTGTGTTTTGTTGTATCTGATTTGAGTATACGTCACTGAAGAATGTTAATGAATCCAAACATGGGTTTTGGGGTGTTCTTGCTAGAAACGCTAAAGACATTCTTGACGATGATGATAATGGAGTTCAGGATTATGATTCACCCCGAACAACAAGGACGGATATGCTGTCTATGCCAACAAGGGGGTAAGGTGAGATATAGTTTTCGTCATGTCTTTATGGTAGCTTGTCATTTTCCAAGGACTTTTAATTGCTGCTGCATTGTTGAATACCTTAAGAATGATCAGAACTTGGATGTCGTCCTCGGAGAAGCCGTTGCGGTCGACGGGGCATCAGTGCATTCGTCTGACGTCGTTTATGCAGCCTTTGAGCTCCGCCTTCGTTCCTTGGTAGTTGTATCCTATCCGCACTGCCTTTTTCACCATTTCTGAACATTTCCAATCACTCTCACTCTGTTTTTTGTTTTTTGATTTTTTTTTGTGAGAGAAGGAGAATTGCATTGTGATGCTCTGTTTTTTATTGCCTTAAAATTAGAGTTTTATTATTTATTTATTTCGGAATTACAATAATATTTTAATATACAAATCTTTTGTTTAATTAATATACAAGTTGAATAGTTTTTTTTAATTCGATTTTGGTATGGGTTGGTGCCGACAAAGAAGAACAAGATAAGGACTTGGATGCACGTCCAGGCTTTTAATTGCATACCAATTGCTGCAAGATATATTTTGCCATATTGGCAAGATATTGTGTGAATGACAATCTGTCTTTTAAAATTGGTTCAAGTTAAATTTAGAGTTATCTTGAAAATATTTGTAGTATCTTAAGCAGTCTTGAATATACCCATAACTTGGCTGTTTAATTCCTGTTTGAACTGTCTTTGGCTGAACGCAGGTGCCACGACCGCCACTCAAATACGTTTTTCAATTTGTGTAAGCCTTTTCACTTTTTCTGAAATCAAATTTCTTTCTATGTAATTTGCATGTTAGGTGGGAGACTTGGTCTCTAAAAAATTTCTGTTTTCCGATTGTGTTTCTTGCTGGAATTTGAACGCTGATATGGTTATTTGTAGAGATATTTTTTGGTATTTATAGGATACTGATTGTATTATGCATTGCATGGTAGGTGGGAGGTAATATTTGGGCGTTTTGGCACCGGGTGTTTCCAGCAATGGGGATAAGATACAGGAAAACTGGACGTTTTCAATTTTTGGTCATACTTATCTACTAGAGGGAGACCAGGTGTTTGACTAAACGCATTTTTTTTTTTGTAATACTGCTTTTACATGTTTTTAACTGCACTTTTTAAGCAGTATGAGAAACGTGGGAAGAATTGAAGAGAACGTATTAGTGATCCTCAATTCTTCCAAACGAGGGAGACCAGGTTATTCAGGCTATTGCATTTGGTTCCAGACTCCTATACATGTGTTGCTCATCGTGGAAGGAAAGACGGATGAAAAAGCCGAGCTCTCTCTCAAGCATGCAAGAAGGTCCGTCTCTCTCTCACCCTTCTCTCGCTCTCAAACCTCGACTTCTCTCATTCATTTTCTTGCTGAAAACGATTGTTTCTTTGGTACTTTCACTCTAAAACTATGAAACTTTTGTCCAAGATTCCAAGAGTCCGACTGAAGGTAGAGAACCAAAAACCTTCAGTGGATTTCTGGTCTACGCTACGCTATCTCAATCTCAATAGTTACAGTCTGAAGGTAGAGAACCTTCAGTGGGTTTCTGACCGGTTGCAAGTTACAAACACGCTCCCTTCTCTGCCAGAGTTAATTATGTCTGATTGTCAACTTGATCCAAGTGGGGTCTTAATATAAAGCAGAATGAATAAAGGGGGGTTTTAATAAAATGGAATGATAAAGTGAAGTGAATGCATTTTGATCTCATGCATGATGAAATCGTGCATTTTCTCCACTATGAATTAAATACTTGTTATTGGATTCAAATTTCAGTTTGTTGTATGCTATTTCATGAATACAAGTTGTGGCGTCAACGCGGTTTAATTAATTAATAGTCAAGCAAGTCTCAAATGGTCTAATATTATCTCCAATTGGGTCAAACTTATGCACTTAGTGGTGTTAGTCTACTGGAGGATGGTCATTCATTATAATTGACTCGCTCTTTTTTTTTTCCTTTTCTGTATTCCCACTTTTGTTATCAAATTATTCCACATGTAAATAGTTTTGAATTCAGAGTTTAGTCTTTCAATTTCAAGCTGGCATATGATCTTTGAATAGTTCAAGCATTTTTGTTATCATTCTAATTTTCTGAAGGTAGATAGAGAAATTGCATGTAAATCGAACAATGTTTCATAATCTTTTGCATGTTGGTACTATTGTTGATCCAAAGCCACAAGAACTTTGTTGGTCTAATCTTTTTTGCATGTAAATAGAAGTCTGATCTTTTGTGTGTATACAAGCAACAGTATCATTTAAACGCTTTAAAAACCCTCAGCGTCGTGTGGGCAATTTTTGCTTGTTATAATCAAATATATGAAATTGAAATGTTGTACGAGGTTACAATTGGAGAGATTTTTCAGTGTGATTGGAATACGGAATTGTACACCACGTGTCACTATACAAATAGTAGAATATATTTGTTAAAAAATTAATAATTTAAAAAATAAAATTTTCACCACTTATATAAAAACATGTGGTGTACCACTCGTATTTCGATCACAATGAAAAATTTGTCGTTACAATTGTACCAAAATTTAAAGAAGTAAATTGTAATTTACCCTTCTTACTTTCACTTGCACATTTACTTGTTTGACGCCCGGCTTAGTTGGGAGTATTATATCCCAGTAAAAATATCACATCCATAAAAATAAAAAATAAAAATTTCATCTATATTAATACAATGTATTTGAAGGACCGACGATTCCCAATTCCAAGTGGGGTCTTAAATTAAACTAGCTAGTCCTAAATAGCCGCTTAGTTTATTCCATCTTATCATCTATGAAACTTTTGTCCAAGATTCGAAGAGTCCGTCCGACGACTGTTACTCTCATTGATGTGCACCGATTTTGAAAATGCGGTCTCATGCCGTAGAGGATGGTTTAGAAAAGGTGAGGCTCCCTAGTATAATATATAGGTAGCTCTACTCTGGATTGTTCATTGCTCATACACATCACCTGCTTCATACACTTGAACTTTATGGAGAGAACCATGAGAGTTGTTTTACTACTAATCAGGTTTCTAGCCATTGCAACCAGTACTTTCAGTATTGGTTTATGCAATGGAAATCCAGGTTGGCCTCCACTTTGCAAAGAGAGCGAAAGACGAGCACTTCTGATGTTCAAGCAAGATCTCAAGGACCCTGCCAATCAGCTTGCATCGTGGGTTGCAGAAGAAGGTTCAGACTGTTGTAGTTGGACAAGAGTAGTCTGTGATCACATGACCGGCCACATCCAGGAGCTGCACCTTAATAATACCAACCCTTATTGGGATTTCGACTCTTCCTTCGGTGGTAAGATAAATCCTTCTTTGCTCAGTTTAAAGCATCTCAACTTCTTGGACTTGAGTAACAATAATTTCAGTGGAACACAAATTCCTAGTTTCTTTGGTTCTATGACAAGTTTAACACACCTTAATCTTGCGTACTCATTGTTTGATGGAGTAATTCCTCATAAACTGGGAAATCTCTCCAGTCTGCGCCATCTCAATCTCAGTTTAAACGATCTGAAGGTTGAAAACCTTCAGTGGATTTCTGGTCTTTCTCTGCTGAAACACTTAGACTTGAGTTATGTAAATCTTAGCAAAGCATCTGACTGGTTGCAAGTTACAAACATGCTCCCTTCTTTGGTAGAGTTAGACATGTCCTATTGTCATCTTCATCAAATCCCCCCTCTACCCACCCCAAATTTTACTTCCCTGGTCGTCCTTGATCTTTCTAGAAACATTTTTAATTCTTTGATGCCGAGGTGGGTTTTCAGTCTTAAAAATCTAGTTTCTATTCATCTTAGTGCTTGTGGTTTCCAAGGTCCAATTCCTAGCATTTCACAGAATATCACATCTTTGAGGGAAATTGATTTGTCATCCAATTATATTAGTCTTGATCCGATTCCCAAATGGCTGTTTAACCAAAAAGATCTTGCATTGAGTCTAGAATCCAATGAACTTACAGGACAACTTCCAAGCATCATTCAGAATATGACTGGTCTTAAAGTTCTTGATCTCGGATGGAACGACTTCAATTCTACCATACCTGAATGGTTGTATAGCTTGAACAATCTCGAGTCTTTACTTCTTTCTTACAATGCCTTGCGTGGTGAAATATCGAGTTCCATTGGAAACATGACATCTCTTGTCAATCTTCACTTGGATGGTAATCAGTTGGAAGGGAAAATCCCAAATTCCTTGGGACATCTTTGTAAGTTGAAAGTTCTTGATCTGTCAGAGAACCATTTCACGGTTCGAAGACCATCCGAAATCTTCGAAAGTTTGTCCAAATGTGGTCCAGATGGAATAAAGTCATTGTCATTGAGGTATACTAATATATCAGGTCCCATTCCAATGTCACTAGGAAATCTGTCAAGCTTAGAAAAATTGTACATATCTGGAAATCATTTTAATGGAACTTTCACAGAAGTTATTGGTCAACTCAAAATGCTAATGGATTTGGAAATATCTTATAATTCGTTAGAAGGTGCAGTGTCGGAAGTGTCTTTTAGCAACCTTACAAAGTTGAAGCATTTCATTGCAAAAGGAAACTCATTTACTCTGAAAACCAGTCGAGATTGGGTTCCTCCTTTTCAACTTGAAATTTTGCAGCTGGATTCCTGGCATTTGGGGCCTGAATGGCCAATGTGGTTGCGGACACAAACGCAATTAAAAGAACTAAGCTTGTCTGGTACAGGAATTTCAAGTACTATTCCTACTTGGTTTTGGAACTTAACTTTCCATGTACAGTATCTGAATCTCTCTCGCAATCAATTGTATGGGCAGATTCAAAATATAGTTGCTGGTCCTCTTTCAACAGTTGATCTTGGTTCTAACCAATTCACTGGTGCATTGCCTATTGTTCCCACCTCAATAATGTGGCTAGATCTTTCCAATTCATCATTTTCTGGATCTGTTTTCCAGTTCTTCTGTGATAGGCCGGATGAACCAAAGCAACTCTATATTCTTCGTCTCGGGAACAATTTTCTCACTGGAAAAGTACCCGATTGTTGGATGAGTTGGCAATACTTGGTATTCCTAAATTTAGAAAACAACAACCTAACTGGGAATGTCCCAATGTCCATGGGATACTTGCAACACTTGGCATCGCTGCACTTGCGCAATAATCACCTGTACGGAGAATTGCCACATTCCCTGCAGAACTGTACCTCGTTGTCAGTTGTTGACCTTAGTGAAAATGGGTTTTCCGGAAGCATACCAATATGGATAGGGGAAAGCCTTTCAGGGTTGAATGTTCTTAACCTTCGTTCAAATAAGTTTGAAGGAGATATTCCTCATGAAGTTTGTTATTTGAAAAGTCTCCAGATATTGGACCTTGCACATAACAAACTCTCAGGAATGATACCAAGACGCTCCGATTAGAAGATGCGACTATGGGACAGAGGTTCAGGGCCGAAGGGGTAGAGGAAGACCTAGGAAAACTTTGGAAGAGACTCTAAGAAAAGACTTAGAGTACTTGGATCTAACGAAGGACATGACACATGATCGAGCACAATGACGTTCTAAGATTCATATAGCCGATCCCACTCAGTGACTTGGATTTTCCAAGTCTCCAACCGAGAAGTTTTCCTCACTCGGAAAATTAAGGGAACACTACCCCAACCTACATGCTCCACTCAGAAAGCTTCAACATACAAGCTTCAACATACAAGCTTCAACAAAAGAAAATTCAAAGAACTTAGCGAAGAAGGCTTTGGTGTATCTAACACAATACGTTGAAATGAAGGAAAGCTTATTTATTGATATCCCCGATAAGCTACAAATATGTACATATACACGAGTCAAAATAAACACCAAGAGGGAGCCTTCACAAAGGTTGCTTAGGAGAAGTCTCAGCAGTCGGTAGAGCCCCAGAAAGAGAAGGCACCGGAGGGGGATCATTTGGAGCCTCAGTACTGGACAGAACCCTAGAAGGAGGAGGCATCAGAGGTTGATCATTTGGAGCTTCATTACGCGGTACAGCCCCAGAAGACGAAGGCAATAAATGCCTTTGGAACAAACCCACAAATCTCTGATGATCAAGTAAAACCTGACCATCAGTTTCCTTCATCTGGTTAAGCTTCCTCTTCATGTTTGTAGCATAGTCATGTGCGAGCCGGTGCAACTGTTTATTCTCATGCTTGAGCCCTCTAATCTCTTGTTTGAGACTCATCACTTCAGCCGCCAATGATTCAACTTGGCGGGTTCGAGCAAATAGGCGTTGGGCCATATTAGACACAGAACTTGCACACTGAACACTGAGAGCCAGCGAATCCTTAACAGCTAACTCATCAGACCGTTTGGAAAGTAGTCTGTTATCTTTGGGAGTGAGAAGGTTCCTGGCCACCACCGCAGCGGTCATATCATTCTTCATCACGGAATCCCCAACGGTAAGAGGACCAGTAGGGGAGACGAAGGATGGGCGCCATATGTTGTCTGGAGAAGGCGGGACTGCCTCTTCAACAAGGTTCAAGTCAAAACGACGGTCGGAGGGGCCAGACATTTTCAAAGGTGTTGAAGAGAGAAGAGGTCGGACAAATCAAGATCTTAGAAGTGCAAGAATGAAGCTTCTACTGGTGGAGATTCAAGTGTGCTTTGGAACTTAATGCCAGCCCCTATAAAAATCTGCACTCGACGGAGCTTCAGAAATCGAAGAGGCGCCCTGCTCAGAAATCGAAGAGGCGTTTGCTTTCTCAAAAGCTGGGCTGCTTAGAGATCACGAGGGTTGATCTCAGAAATCGAAGAGGCGTTTGCTTTCTCAAAAGTTGGGCTGCTCAAAGACCTCGAAGGCTGATCTAAAAAATCGAAGAGGCGCTCGCTTTCTCAAAAGCTGGGCTCCCCAGAGACCACGAGGGCCGATCTCAGAAATCGAAGAGGCACCTACTTTTTCCAGCCTTGTCAGCACCTGTCACACGCACACTCAGCTTTGCGAAAATTATGGGCATTCTGTCGAAGACTTCTGGGGAAGTAGAAAACACATGAATCTTACTGTTCAATCACCCACTTCCCACACGCAACAATAGCTCATGGGTACCACAGATAACTTTGCCAAAGTTCTCTGCCAAAGTTGAGCACGTGAAGCTTGCAGCTCCTACTACATCGCTCCCATAAATTTTGAAGGTCTAGCTACCATATTATTACCCACAAGGGTAAAGGAACAGTACCACTGCTGGATAATTGGAAAGTCCTTGTGTGTCAACCTCTGTGCTTCGTGGCAAGGTAGACTAGCAAACATGCCCAACCTTTACTCACATTCGAGAAAAACACTCCCAATAAGATTGCTTGCTCCAAAATCGAAGAGGCACCGTCCTCCGAATCTCGAGAGCCAGACTCTCAACATGACTACTTTCTTAAAAAATCGAAGAGAGGGTAAAAGGAACAGTACCATTGCTGGATAATTGGAAAGTCCCTGTGTGTCAACCTCTGTGCTTCATGGCAAGGTAGACTAGCAAACATGCCCAACCTTTACTCACATTCGAGAAAACACTCCCAACAAGATTGCTTGCTCCAAAATCGAAGAGGCACCGCCCTCCGAATCTCGAGAGCCAGACTCCCAACATGATTACTTTCTCAAAAATCGAAGAGACACTGCTCCCCGAATCTTCGAGAGCCAGACCCCCAGCATGATTGCTTTCTCAAAAATCGATGAGGCATCGTTCTCCGAATCAATCGAAGAGGCGCTCGCTTTCTCAAAAGCTGGGCTGCTCAGAGACCACGAGGGCCGATCTCAGAAATCGAAGAGGCACCTACTTTTCTAGCCTTGTCAGCACCTGTCACACGCACACTCAGCTTTGCAGAAATTATGGGCATTCTGTCGAAGACTTCTGGTGAAGTAGAAAGCACATGAATCTTACTGTTCAATCACCCACTTCCCCACACGCAACAATAGCTCATGGGTACCACAGATAACTTTGCCAAAGTTCTCTGCCAAAGTTGAGCACGTGAAACTTGCAGCTCCCACTACATCGCTCTGACCAAGAAAGGTAAAAGAATAACAAAGAAACAGCACTAACAAAGTTTAGACACATAAATTTTGAAGTTCTAGCTACCATATTATTACCCACAAGGGTAAAGGAACAATACCACTGCTGGATAATTGGAAAGTCCCTGTTTGTCAACCTCTGTGCTTCGTGGCAAGGTAGACTAGCAAACATGCCCAACCTTTACTCACATTCGAGAAAACACTCCCAACAAGATTGCTTGCTCCAAAATCGAAGAGACACCGTCCTCCGAACCTCGAGAGCCAGACTCCCAACATGACTACTTTCTCAAAATCGAAGAGAGGGTAAAGGAACAGTACCATTGCTGGATAATTGGAAAGTCCCTGTGTGTCAACCTTTGTGCTTCGTGGCAAGGTAGACTAACAAACATGCCCAACCTTTACTCACATTCGAGACAACACACTCCCAACAAGATTGCTTGCTCCAAAATCGAAGAGGCACCGCCCTCCGAATCTCGAGAGCCAGACTCCCAACATGATTACTTTCTCAAAAATCGAAGAGACACTGCTCTCCGAATCTCGAGAGCCAGACCCCCAGCATGATTGCTTTCTCAAAAATCGAAGAGGCATCGTTCTCCGAATCTCGAGAGCCAGATACCACAGACCACTTTTTCAAAGTGCTCTGACAGAGTTAAAAACATGTGAAACTGGCAGCTCCCACTACCGTACTATGACCAAGCAGGGTAAAGGAATAGCATTACTACTTGTTAGGGAGACTCCTATATATGTCGACCTCCATCCCCAACAGGACAGGCAGACCTGCAAAAATGCTCAACCCTTCATCATATCTGAGAGGGCACTCCCAACGAAGCCTTTCGAAATATTCAGCTTTCTTTCCCCCCGATATTACCTCCGCAAACAAGCTATACTAGAGCAAGAATATCTCATATCATCAGGGTTAAAAGCAAGAGTATCCCATATCATGCTTTTTCCCTGTCTTTTCCTTTGGCCTTGTTTTTACCTGCAAGACAAGGAGAAAGAGAGCAATCAGTCAGCACTTGGAATCAAGCTTCCAGCCAGGAACTGACTGCCTGGAACCCCTTACCTGATTACTTACCTGGCATTGCTCTCGAGTACTCATCTTCAACATCTTATGTTTCCAGGGAAGATTCCGCATCTGCTTGAGGAACAGATAGGGCAAGTGCGAAGGATACAAGGAAGCATGTGGAGACAAGCGTAACAGCACACACGTGCCGATACATCCATTACTCTGTCAAAAGCAAAAGTATCTCATATCAGCAGGGTGGAACGTACTCTAGATTTGATGGACTTGTTTTGACCCTCAAATTCTTCAGTCGGCCTTATACTCTGGAGGAAACCAGAAAACCCTCCAGCTCAGTTCAAGAATAAGCCTGTGGAAAGTTACTTCTTCAAAAGCAAAAGTATCTCATATCATCTCTTCTCATTTTTCTTCTCTTTATCCTTCATGCTGCTGCAAGATGGGGAGAAGGTGAACAATTAGTCGGAGCTCTGATTGCTTACCTTGTCTGTCACCTCTTTCAGCAGACCCCCTAGCTCGGCGACTTGGGGGACTCCTTACTACATGGTTTGTATCGCGCTTGACCAAGCCTGAAACTACAAGTAAGCTTCAAGTGAAATTGATACATTACCTTGTGCATCTCCACCAGTTAAAGATACCACCCCTGGATGGAGGAAGAGTACTTCCAGAGAAGATGCCACATCTACCTATGAGACAGATAAGGCAAGTCAAGACGACACCACACTCCGATACTTAGAAGTTTCGTGATTACGAGATCATTCTCCCACAATATTTCCTAATGTCATTTGTACTAAATCATTCACTTGTACTCACTAAAGGAGAGCTTGAACCTATGTACTTGTGTAAACCCTTCACAATTAATGAGAACTCTTCTATTCCGTGGACGTAGCCAATCTGGGTGAACCACGTACATCTTGTGTTTGCTTTCCTATCTCTATCCATTTATATACTTATCCACACTAATGACCGGAGCAATCTAGCGAAGATCATAAAAAGCGACCGTTTTCGCTACCTAGGATCTATCTTGCAAGAGAACGGAGAATTAGATGGAGATCTCAACCATAGAATACGAGCTGGATGGATGAAGTGTAAGAATGCATCCGGCGTGTTGTGTGACCGTCGTAGGCCACTGAAGCTCAAGGGAAAATTTTATAGGACGGCAATAAGGCCAGCAATGTTGTATGACACAGAATGTTGGGCGGTGAAGCATCAACACGTACACAAAATGGGTGTAGCGGAGATGAGGATGCTTCGTGGGATGTGTGGGCACACGAGAAAGGATAAGATTGGGAATGAGGATATCCGAGGTAAAGTAGGAGTAGCCGAAATTGTAGGAAAGATGAGAGAAAATCGGCTCCGGTGATTTGGACATGTGCAAAGAAGGCCGAATGACGCTCCGGTTCGAAGATGTGACTACGGGACAGAGGTTCAGGGCCGAAGGGGTAGAGGAAGACCTAGGAAAACTTTGGAAGAGACTCTAAGAAAAGACTTAGAGTACTTGGATCTAACGGAGGACATGACACAAAACCGAGCGCAATGGCGTTCTAGGATTCATATAGCCGACCCCACTTAGTGGGAAAAGGCTTTGTTGTTGTTGTTGTTGTTGTTGTTGGTCTTTCGGGTACAAGTACACACATGTCTGAACTTTCAGATAATGCAATCTTGGTAACGAAAGGGATAGAAATGGAATATAGCAAGATTCTGGGATTCGTAAAAGGCATGGATCTTTCATGCAACTTTATGTATGGAGAGATCCCTGAAGAACTTACTGGCCTCCTCGCATTGCAGTCACTCAATTTATCGAATAATCGCTTCACCGGAAGAATTCCTTCAAAGATTGGTAATATGGCAGGGTTAGAATCTCTCGATTTTTCCATGAACCAACTTGATGGTGAAATTCCTCCAAGCATGACGAATTTGACATTTCTGAGTCACTTAAACTTGGCCTACAACAATTTGACGGGACGAATTCCAGAAAGCACTCAACTGCAAAGCCTTGATCAGTCGAGCTTCTTCGGCAACGAACTATGCGGAGCTCCACTCAACAAGAATTGCCGCGCGAATGGGGTGATACCGCCACCAACAGTTGAGCAAGATGGAGGAGGAGGATACTGTTTACTCAAAGACGAGTGGTTCTACGTGAGCTTGGGAGTTGGATTCTTCACGGGGTTTTGGATGGTGCTTGGTTCTTTGCTGGTAAACATGCCATGGAGCATTCTTCTTTCACAGTTGCTGAATAGGATAGTGCTTAAAATGTATCATGTAATTGTTGAATATGTTTAGCTTTGTTTTGTACTTTGAGTAAGTTTGTTGGCATATTCCTTGCTGTGATGAATATGCCAGTATGGTTGTGTTGTATGATTTTGAAAATACAGGTTTGGCTTTAGAGGAGTTAGGTTTCATGTGCCCCCTCCCTTGTATCGTTTTTGTTTTCGTTTCTAGAGGGGTAAGGTTTATGTCTCCTCCTGACTAAGTGTAATTTTCTTTTTCGTTATCAATAAAATATCTCTCATACCGTCGATGTTTTCTTAAAAAATTAAAAAAAAAAATATCCCATATAAAATTAAAAGACTTGTTTTTTTAACAAGTAACTGTTCGTTCAGCAGAAGTAAATTGAATGACATGAAAATTATGGTTTAGAGATTAGTTACCTATTAATTAAGTTTAGTAAACTCATATTATTCATATTATTTCGTGGTTGTATTTTTAATTATTTTTCATTTACAATTTTACCCCTCGATCTTTCTTTTGTTCTCTCTCTCTTCTTCGTACTAATTCACGTGACACATCTCTCTCTTCTACGAGGAAACCCAATTGTTATGCAGCTTTGAAATGCTCGTGAAGCAAGCAAATTGGTGACGACGGAGTTAGCATGTTCCTATGTTATTTAGAGGCATTCTCTGTCATAAAACATTCGTATTGATGCCAATATACGCAAAGTTTACAGACTTGAAACTGGATATATTATGAAGCAACTTTGTTCCTAGAATAAATAAAATCGACTCGACATATATCGATCTTTAGTTGCTTGACATCCTAAGCTTAAGGGTTAAGAACAGGGGTCTGTTTAAATCTCTGAAAAGAAACAAGGGCATATATTGCATGTACAAAAGACCCAGAAACAAAGTCTTACGACAAGAAAGAAGAAAAAAGAAATTCCAGAAGTATAGGGACGGTCCCTCGTCTCTGCATGTGGATGAATGCATCATGCATGCTACAATGACGGTGAAGGAAGGATAGAAAGTTTCGAAGAATCTGACTCCAGTACTCTACGAGTCTCTAGCATTAGTGAAACTTCATCTCATTTGGTTTGCTGCCCCTAAACGCTGAAAGAGAGAAGAATGACCTTGTTGCAGCTGAAACACACATGGTAGAGAGTCTTGGAATCTTAATCAAGCGAATTAGAAATGGCACGTAGATATTCTGTATGCAGGTGTAGAAAAAATTTGCAGGAAGATAAAAAATCATAGAAAACGATACTGTGTGTACTCGTCAAGTGGAAAGACAACCTTTAGTTGCAGGTCCTGCAGCTGCATCGCGGTTCTCTTGTGACTTATGTGAACTCTGCCCGTCGAATCTGCTAATATTTGATTGAGCTGCATGCAGAAATCCAAAATGATTATTAGCATGAGGAAAAAATGAACATCCATCCATCTAACTTTTCTCTACTACAATATGAAATACAATCTGCTTTTGTCAACTATCTGCTTTCCCAACAAATTAAAGCAAGGGTTAGTGAGGGAGGGAGGAAAGGAGCAAAAGAAAAAAGACACGAAGGCAGGACGAAATTCTAACAAAGCAGGAAACTTACTAGAGTACGGTTCATACTTCCTTGTTTGAAGCGAAGCCTTTCTGAGTACACTGGCAGCATCAAACTCTCCTTCAGAGAAAACTGACGGACTAGACCAACCAGCCAAATTGGCATCTCCCTTGCTCTTCCGAGCAAATTTTAAGAGCCTCTTCAGTCCTTTTGGTGCATCCTTTTGGAACACAATAGCAGGAGGATTTTCAGCATTTCCCTCTCAATATTATCTGGTTCGTTACTTTCTTCTTGCAGCATCTGGGACAAAGAATGATGGACACAAGGACATGACAGTCCAGCCGGTGCAACATTGGCTGAAGTGGTTACTTGAGATGAGTCGTTACATGGGGACATGGCCTGATGCTCCTCTATTTCCACCCAAGCACTTGGGGAGAAGGTTGATTCTTCTTCAGCTTGGACTTGCAATGACAATTCTGCAACATTTTTTAAGTCATCATTACGATCAGGAGAAACTGGGTCAAGATGTTGTGTCTCACCACACATCGGGCTATCATTTACCAGAGCTTCTGGTTCCACAGCATAATTTGAAAGGCCGACTGACACAATATCTGGCTCTTGATGCTGACTCACAGGATCAGAAGCGCTACCAATCACCTCATCCTCTTGAGATTCAATAATATTTATGTTGTTTCTGAAAGATGATATCTTCATGATCTCTTGAGATTGTTTCCTATTTCATCATGATTTCCTGATTTCCCTTTATTATTAAAACATTCCCTTTATGTATTATTTGTATATTAATTATACTTGTAAATCGAGTCATTGTACACTATTTAAATCAATTATAATGCACCCTCCAAGGTATCGAGGGATTGAGCCAAATTACCTTCGCTTACCTTTGCTGTCTTTTCTGCAATTGCTGCTGTGCATTATCTTTTATGGTATCTCAGAGCCGGTGACTAGCATATTTTTTTAGGCTACAGTGTTCTATTCCACTGTGCTTAGTGGATTTTTAAGGTTGTTAGCCTCTCATACCTTTCAAATCCAATCTTGTGATCATAGACAATTCGAATACATCATTTGTGCAATCCACAGCCATAGATCCACCGCCATTATGTTCCTCGCCTGCACACATTAGATTTTGAAATAATTACAGATCTAAAGAATGCTGTAGCTTTGACATATACACACCTATTGCTGGATCTTTCGAGTATTCAACAAGCAATTCAGTCAGTTTTCCATTCCGTTCCACTGCACTGCTCACTCCATCTTCATTCTGTCCAACCCCCTGAATGAGTTAAGAACAAACATTGTGATCAATAAAACTAAATTAGAAGCAAAGAAATCCCAATATGGTACCTCCAAATCCATAACTTTTCAAGACATAATAGGACAGCTGAATACCTTCAAATTAATTATGGATAAAGAAAAACAACACTTCATAGTTATGTCTAATAAATGTCTTTCAACAAACAAGAGAAACATCTCTTTGTTTTGAACAGAAATGTCTTGCATTGTCATATTGGTCATGCATTGGAATTTACGCAAAAGCTTAATGTAGGCTACAGTTCTGAACTTCTGATATGTAGAGACAAATGAAAGAAGCATAGCATATAGGCTTCAGATATAAATACCTCCATAGGGAGCAGACATGATGTTCCAGCATGAGATCCCCCTGTTGCTTCAGACTCTGACCTGATACCAGAAGAATCAGTGTTGTCCATTGCATGCTTATCTCCAACATTTACTTCACCAGTCTTTTCGATTTCACTGGCTTTCTTGCCTGCAACAGATTATACACATTTATTTTATTTGGATTATCCAATGAACCTATTAGCATAGGAATAATATCATGTAATGTTAAGAGTTTCTCATGTCTTACTCTAGGCCATCGGATATCAGCTTGAGATATTCACGGTTTACCCTTGCTTTTAAAAGTACTTGGTTGTGTGGACCTATCATGTATTTGTCCGTTTATGAGGACTATTGATTTTTTTACCATGCAATTTCAGTGGTCTGCCTTCCTATCATGTCCTACTCTAGGTCGTGGGATATCACTTTGAGATTTCCATGGCTTACCTTTTCTTTTAGAATGAGTTAATGCTTGATCATCCAGTCCTCTAACCTTCTGTTTCGCAATCTTCTGCAAGAGCAAAGAACGCATATTAATCAGGACCAGTAGGTTTTAGAAGAAACAAAATCAGAGGAAAAATAGTGCAAGGCTTTCTTTGTATAGAACTTCCTACTTTCAAATAATGAAGATGAAAACATTTGATTCGAATCATGCTTGAATGGACCTAAAAGAAGGCAAGCTGCTTGGACTTCTTACTCAAGCAAAATGAATGGATACAAAGGCCTCCTAGGATATGAACCTAACCTTAATCTTGGAACATTTCCAACAGGCATTATTATGCCATACAAACCATAAAGGCAACAGAGGCCTAGTCTTTGTTGTTTTCCTTTTAAATATCATGCAGAGATGAAATTTGGGTAGTTTTATGTAATGACATGTCCCCAGTAATGAGCACTAGTTAACCCTACTCTTGGAATCACTTGAGTCGGTGAGTGTGGTCAGTATAGTTTAAGTAGTTCTGATAATACTCACCGACTCAAGTACTTTGATCAATACTAAGTGAACCAACACACTTCTCTTTGATTACAGGGTATCTTGAGTAAAATGCATAGAATAGAGCAAGTTAATGAGGTTTAGAAAGGGAAGACTGGAATCGTGAATTTGTATACCACAAAAAAGCACTCAGCTATAGGAGAATAAATAACTAAATACCAACAACATTTTTCTGAGAGTTCACTTACCAAAACATTAATAACTGGGGATTCTTTGTTAAGAGATTTAACAGGCGTTCTCCTTGGAAATGATTTCTCCAAGGATAAGGAGTCTTCTGAATGCCCACCTTTTAACTTCTTGTAAAGACTTAAAAATTGTTGCATCATCTTTAGGTTGCAGGGACATTTTCAGTTTCTTTTTGGTCTCTCCATAAGGTGATCTATCCGTGCAAGGACTCAAGTGATTCGATTGAATTATCAATGAGATCCTAGAACAAGGTGTTTTCCTTCGAAGTGGTGTAGCTACATCAGAGTTTCCGAAACTCTCACAAGATTGTAATTTATAATCACTTTTGGAACTCGGACATGAATGCTTTGATTGTGCTTCAGAAACCCTTCTAAAGTGAAATTCCTGAACATAACCGCCAGAATTTTAGTCACACAACGAATTTGAATCCATCAAATGCTCTTCAGCATAGCAACTTGAATTTACATGGACATCATTAAATCTTTCTGAATAAAATTACATCTTAATGACCTCATTTCCAAGAAACAGAATGTTTCAAACATGATTACCATCTTGCCCATAAGAAACAAGTAATGACCATCACCTTTCCCCTTATAAAACAAGAGGAAAAAAATACATCGTACCCGAACTTCAGTAATCCATCTTCCATGCCTCATTGTAGCCCATCCTCCATCATTCCAATCCATGTGAGTCCTCAATTCTAAAAGGTTGAATTCCATCTCCTGCTTTGTGCAACTTAAAGTGACCGCATACTTGTTTCCTTTAAGAACTTTTGTAATATCTCCGACCCACCAACCCATGTCATGGAATGCATCAACTTTATCCAACAAGATAAAATCTCTTTCAGTCGAATTTGGAGGCTGAGACTGAATCTGATGGCCACGTACGACAATTTTAACATCGCTGTTGTTTGATTTCTTATATTGAAGCAAGAAAGATTCGATCCCTAGTTGACCAAGATAAATTGCTGGAAACCAAGCATAAAATAGTCTTTCTTCGTTGGGATTCATTTCAACTGCTGTCCCAGGGCTGAAATTTGATCCCATCATCATCTATGAAACAATAGTGAAAAATATCAGTTTCTGTCTGTGACAATTGACAAACCATATATAGCATAAGGAAATTTTCTATCCTCTCCCAAAATTAGAAGAAAGTCAGATTCACTGCAAAAGAGATCAATACAAGCATTCAAGGTAGAGAAATACAACATTAGCCAATATATGATGAAACTGGGGACCAAAACAAGCAATCAAGGTGGAGAAAAACTTATTTTTTAAAGTAAAAAGGGGAATTTAAAAGCAAAACAACAGAAGGCAGATCCAAATATGTACAAACAACCTGCATGTTCTTAAATCATGAAAACCCATGTCACAAATCTTCAAAGAAAAAATCATAAAGAAACACACAAAAAAGCCCCATGCAACCATAAACCTTGAAAATTCATGCATCAGAAAACAAAACCCACATGCATTACCAAAAACCCAGAACCTGTACCTCCTTTTTGGCTCGGACCCAAACGCCGTCCGCCAAATCCCAGTGAGAACGCAATTCGGACCGCCGCACCACAAGCAGATCAGGGGGGTACATGAACGCCACCGTGTACTCATCCTCCTCGCGCTTGATCACAACCCTGGGCCACCACGCGTCGAGGTGAAAGGCGTCGACTTTGTTGCCGGGCTCGAAGGGCCTGTCGACATTGTCGTCCGAAGGCACCGGCCGGATTTGACCCAACTCGACAAACTCCGTCAGGGGCTTGTCCGGGTCGATGTCGGAGAGCAGAGTCTCGTACTGGACCTCAGCCTGGTGGGTGAGAAGGAGTTGCTGCTGCCGTCGGAAAAGCTCTTCCTTTTCTTCTTCGTCGCCGGAATCAGGGGCTTGGAGTCGATGATTTTGGCGGGGAACCATGCGCCCTTGAAGCCATCTTCATTGCTGCAAACTTTCACCTTTGAATCCTTGCCCAAATGGGTTGCTGATTGACTTTTCTTGACCACCATTTTCAGTTGTCTTCTGTCACTTTCCCGAGAAAATATTCACCGTGTGGGAGAAAGTGGCAGAGTGGGAGTGAGAGTCCTCTCCCCTCCGCTCTTTCTTTCTATTTTCTCTCTCTTTAACTTTATGAAATCAACACAATCCTCACCGTTGAAAGTAAAAAAGAAAAAAGGAAAGAAAAATTAAGAGGAAAGAGAATCTTAATCCGATAATTACTATCTGCTAAGTTATCAATCAGTCAAAAAGGGTTTGATTTGTTGCGGGTGCCGGGGAGAGAAAAAGTTCTCATTTTCCCATCATATATACATCGCTTTTTTTTTTTTTTTTAACCAATGATATTATTTATACTATAGAAGCGGAAAGTGAGCCAAGCCTAAAAATAAACGAAAAATAATGTGGTTTAAATTCGTTTTTGACGATAATTGACAATTGGCATCATTGTAAAGGCTGAGACAAAAGAAATTAATACTAACAGAGACAACAAACCTATATATTTCCAAGAAGATTAATTATTAAGGAATTACTTCAGAATTAATACACAATAATTATATATTTCTTTAGTTATTACAAGCGATATTATTACTCTAAGTTACACTAAAAAAAACATATGAGAATTTGAACATAGGACACAATAAATTAAAGAGAAAGATTATATCTAGCAAGAAAATCTACCACTTGCATCTGTACTGATGATTATCCAAAATCATACTTTTTTTTATAAACGTTGCCACCTCTCAACACACTATAATGGTTCATAAGGATGGAGGCAGCTAAAGCTCAACGAGACGGCCCCTTATTAAAGTTTTGTGCGAAGGAAAAAAAAACTTGATGCTTACATAAGGGCAGAGAATATATGTAGCATATTATTCATGCTTCTTCAAATAAATATAAAACAAAAGACATATATAACTTGAATTTATTATATTTACGTACTTTAATTGATCAGCTGAAATTTCCAAATAATATGTATAATAATAAGCGATCATTGTGAAAAAAATGCATACAAGTTGGCCTAATGAAATTTGAGGAAAAAAAAAAAAGAGATTATAGAAGATATTCTACTATTTTAATTTTTTTTTTCTTAAGTATAACTGCAGGTTAAGGTTGCCCCCACTAAAAATGTTTCTCGCTCCCCTCCCTATGGTGCAACAATGTTATGGATTATTACTGTCTTTAGCTACTTTTAATTGTAATATGCATTTTTTTAGTAGGTAATACAATTAGCTCTCAAGAGGGCCCTAAAATATTAGGGAGAAAGCCTTAGAATCTGAAACGTATAATTGCCATTAAAATCAACATGTGCGAGAGCTACAGCTCTCTAACCTCACATATTTTGGGTCAATCCTATAATCATGGATTGTGGTATTATTCATTCATAAACAACCATCAACCTACTGCTGTATCTAGTCAGTAGAATAAAGCTGAAAAACGTAGATTTGAGATTTCAGAAAAGTTTAGATTGTTTTTGTATAGTTTTCGAGCAAAATTTAACTTTTTTAAATATATTGTGCGTCAAGAAAGAGAAAGATGGCCGGAAAAACAGCATGCATGTTCATTCATGCATCTCTGATGATAATAACAATTCTACTCACTTCAAGTACCGCTGCCATCGCCGATGATACGATACCGATACCTTCCGATAGTTCCCAAGTAGCTAGCTGGTTCGATAATAATGTGAAAACCTACAATGAACGAAAGTCAACGCTTGATCCTGCCCTTGTTGCAGCTGAGCATGCTCCCCAGGTCGTCATTTGTCAAGGTCATGCAAGATGGAGGTGGAAACTTCAAGACCGTCACCGACGCCATCAATAGCATTCCAGCCAGGAACACAAAACGCGTGTTTGTGTACATCAAAGGGCGAGTGTATGTGAAATCCCGTTCCTAGATTTCACTGTTATCACATACGTATTTGTATTATTGAGATTTTATATTATTTTTCAAGAATTTATTTTAAATTGTTTGAATTTAGATTTTAATTAAATTAGTTACGAAGTTTGAAGTTTGGGAATTAATTAGTTAAAATCCGTGAACTTTTTGAGGTCACAATTTATATTGTTGAATAGATTTCAAGGTCACGAACGCATAGGCGAAAACCGTTTGCGAGTCCGAATTATAACGGTATAGTTACGGACGTTTGAAGTTGTGAGCTATAGATTGTAGGAATTAATTAATTCCCACATGTGGGTTAAAGGTTAAATTAGTTAAGTTAGAAGGGGGATGAGGTGGCAGCAGGGGGAGGAAGGAAAAAGGAAGTTGTGGAAGAGAATGGGGAGAACGTCCTTTCACTTTCTTCTTGGCTTTGCAAGGGAAGAAAAAGAAAGGCAGGAGGTGGCTTTTCCATAGCTTTTGGAAGAAAATCCTTCTTTCTTCAAACAAAAATCGGAGAGAGAGGAGTTAGAGAACGTGATTGTGAAGGAATGATTCAGAGATTTGAAGGGTAAATTCCTTGTTACTTCATTATCTTGATTTTCGAATTTAACTTTCTTAAGTTGAATTGAAACTGCCATGATATATTTGGAGTTCTTAGTTCTATTTAGGGTTTCTATCATTCAATGAACTAGTCTAAACATGAATTAGTGTTGGGTAATTCGGATTGGATGTGTAGATCAAATTTCTAGATCAAGGGTTTGGTTCAAAATGTCAATTTCTTGTTGATTTTGAGTCATGTTAGTTTTGGATGTTGTATACATGACTTCTGAACTACCTAAAAGTATTTTGAGATTTGTTATATGAATTCGAAGTGGGCTGTTACGTAAGTTGCAGAAAATTGATTTTTTCGCAAAGAAAACTCAAGTTTCGAGTAACCTTCTTTGGCCCTTAATTTCTAGGTCTTTATGTGCTCCTTTGGAGAAAATTTTTAGTGTGTTGAAAGTACATATGTTCATAATTGTAACCCAATTGTTTTTTCTCAGTTTCGTTGAGTTTTGGTTGATCAAAACCTTATTTAAACTTGGGTCGCGAGCTGCCAAACAACAGCAGAAAATTGGGTTTCCAGTTTCAAGACTTCGTTCTTCTTTTTGGCAGAACTTCCAATTTAGAACTCCGTTTTCTACGAACTTTGTATGCTTTTAAAGTTCAGAACACAAGCTTCAAAACCCATATAATATGACATGATTTGGTTTAGTTTTGAATGTTCCAAAGGGAGCCTAAACTTGGTCCAATAGTGATGTTTCTGCAGATTTTGTGGAGAAGCAGAGTACTGTTTTTGCCACACCTATTTTCTTTTCCAGATTCCTTTCTAATCTTCTTTACTACTATTTGAGTGATATTATTTGAGTGATAGATTCCGAAATCAGTGTACTTTCTTTAGATAATATTAATTTTGTATTTAAACGCTTAGTTTGGTTATTGAGGTGTGTTACTTGTATTTATACTTTTGATTGTAACTTTATGTCCCGATTAGGTTCTTCAAAGGAACAAAATTAATCAAATTCAAGGAAAGGGGGTTCTGGGAAACCTTATATGTATTAATCTAATTATTGCTTACTTTTGGTCAATACACTACGAATTGATCTTAAATATTAAATTCAATATTATTAGAGACTATGTAGGGCTTAGTGGGCCTATATTGGTTAGTGAGTTATCCCAGATAATATATACATCGATTTGCGTGTACGGGAAATCATATTGTGATATATATGTGTTTAGTTATTTTCTTGATAATATGAATGATATGAATGATGAAGGTTATGACCATATGATGCTAGAATCCTACCAGAGGTATTCTGTAGAATTTAAATTCTTGCATGATATGTATGTTAGTGGCCATGAGAAGTTGATAGTATAGGTGCCTACGTTGTAACTCATCAGGGTTGAGGTATGGGTAGAAGGTGTGCTAAACTGATTGCACCAGGTAGCAGTGGTACTTAGATGGTCCTGCTTAGTATATCCGCGATGGGGGACCATACGCATTTTAGAGATGGTGATGATTAGTTATACTTGGTATATTTCGATAAGTGATCATAATTTGGTCTGGATTCTGTTGAGTGAAGGTCTGGAATCGTATCCTGGTTCGGATTCTGTTG